GCCTGTGCAGAACAAAAGATTTTTTTGGTAACCTGCAAACTGCAACGCGGATAAATTTTATTTTGCCCCTGCGCGGTATCGCGCAGGGGTGAAAAATTATGCAGGTGATCAGCTCTGGTGTGTACGTTTATGCAGCTAGCTGCAACGAGTATCGAAACTACTGTAGTGTACCTAGCTGCAGCGGATGCTACTAGCTTATTTTTTCACGGTTGGGCATATTCATATTAGGACGACCGATAGGTAATAATTTCAAATTAGCAGCAGCGCTTTTTAACTTCACTACAATATGTTATTGAAGGTTAGATTATTTTCAACGATTTGAACTATACAAAGTTCATTTTCAAAGATAAATATAATCACAGTGTGAATATAATCAATTTTCGCTCCTGTAATACAAGTAAGGTGATTCACGAGAATGAAAGAAGAAAATTTTCACTAGGTTACAAGGAAAGAAGACAAGGATTTCAACTTTTGAACAAGTGAAAGGAGTTTATTTCACTAAATAATATTAGAGCAAAGACGAGAGAGAATTGAAATTTATATTTAGCATATACTCAATGGAAAAATAGAAAAATGGAATAAGTGAGTGAAAGAGTATACGCTACGTCTCATAAAAGACACAATATATATTCTCATAACAGATACAAATCCGTATTGTTCCATGTATCTCTTCGATTCTTCATCGACAATCGGAATCGCGGTTTCTTAGACCCTATCTTTTTTTCTGAACCAAGACTTTTTTACCTGAATCCTTTCGTTTACTATAAAATGAATTCTATTTCCTTGAATTATTACCGCCCAAAAAACTATTTTCCGATTCTAAGCTAAGAACCGCGGCTCTGTTCTAAATTCGGAACCGGAACAATGGGTTCTTTGACTTCGGTCCTAACTCGAGAAACGGGGCCGCGGTTTTGGTTCGAGAATCAAGAACCGAACATCCCTAATTTTGAGAAACGAATATTTTGGCAAGAAATTGCATTTCTCAAAGTAGATACAAGTATAAGCATGGAATCTCTCTTTTCTAAAAAGAGATACATTATCTCTTATTTCTACATTCCAATAAAAATGAAATTAAATAAGAGGTACAAGCAAGCAAGATTATGTTAAGCGATAATTAGTACTGATATTTAAAAATATTTATTTTTCCAAAGAAGGTAATTTATTCTTCGCTGTCTTCGTCCTTATTCGTAAACGTTTGGAATTGGACGATGAATGTTCAAAAAGCAGAAAAACTATCAGCTATACGTGTTGAACAAGAAGACGAGCACGGCCGGATAACGAGAAAAGGAAAAAACGAAGGTGTTGATCTCGATATTCATTTGATTTCTGGCAGACTACTATTATTGAGTGAAGAAATAGATTTAGAAGAATATCAAAGACTTTGTAGTCACTTTGGATACAATTACTTGGAAGTGTTTAAGAAAGCTCGTGATTCGGATATTAGCACGTCTGAGGATGAAGACAGCGAAGATTAATCGTAACTTCTCTTTGAATAATAAATATTTAAATGTCCATGGCTCGGACATTGCGGAATAGATTTTTTACAATACAAGACGGAATACGATTTTGCAAGCCTGTCACAGGGTTTTCTAATTTATTTTTCTGATTTATTCTAATAATAAGTAATAAGTAAGATTATAGTTTTTTTATATTGGGTCCTACCTTCTCATTAGTACATTTTTAGGACTTTAAAGTCGTCCTAAACGCCTAACTAGTCTGGCTATAATAAGTTACTAATCGTATACGTCTAAAACTATAAGGTTAGAACGTTGAAAAATCAGACTCATTTTTTACTAACTTCTCGTTTTTAAAGGTTTTTTAAATCTTGTAGGTTCAGGTGAGGCATTTCTCAAAATAATATATGCTTCTTAAGATCCGAATGGAGACAGGAAAGTATCAACATAAATATTTTCGTGAGACTAGTGGTAATAAACAGATTTGAATAAATACTAGCATTATTAACTTTACATAGGCATGCACACTGTAAAACTGTATGAACACTTAAACTGTTCATAACTGTAATTGCTCTTAACTGGAGGCAAATATTCTAGAGTGATTAGTCTTGTACGATTTGCATACATTTTAAGAATGTCTCTGTTCTTAAAATGTATGCAAATCGTAGAAGACTAACTCACTCTACCTAGAATATTTACCTCCAGTTGAGAGCAGTTTCGAGTTTTCACAGCTACAGGTATGACAGTTACAGTTAACTAAGACTGTAACATACATGTAGAAGTCAAAAGTCTAATTAGACTTTTAAAAAGTCTAAAAAGTCTAAAAGTATTTTCAAT